TTTTTGCCCCTTTTTTGAAAATTTGTTCAAAAACACAAAAAAAAAAAAAAAAAAAAAAAAAAAAAAAAAAAAAAAAAAATTGTTTTTTTTTTTTTTTTTTTACGCAAATTTTAACTTTTACAAAAATAAAAATATTTTAAAAATATTTCATCACGGGTTTAACATCCCAGTTGGATAATTCTCTTGGCTCTTTATCCACTTTGCAGCGTTGTATTTTTCTCTCACCATGTGTGTGACCCTTTCCTTTTTGATGCTGCAAAATGAGCCAGCTCATGCCTTTGGCGATTCCCCCAAATGCCCATTAATTGCTTAAAGCAAAATTTGGGCGGCCACAGCCATCTCCTTCGCGTGCGCGTCGTAGTTACTTCGTTGAAGTGAGTCATTCAGGCAACTTGCAAAAATTTTTCTACACCATCGCCTGCATGTAAAAGACGCGCGATATAGGTGTGCATTTGAATTAGAGAAGCACACCCTTTTGTGAGTGTGTGCTGCAGATCTCCCCTTATACACCCCACCACAAAAAAAAAAAAAAAAAATGATAATCAAAGGGGGAGTGGGAGAACGTTTACAATTTTAGGTTACCTACATGGTGTGTATACGTTAAAAAGGGGCCAAATTACATGAACATAAAAAAAAAAAATAAAAATAATTTACCATCCTTTTCGGAGTGGTACACATAGACGCCGTAATGTTAGATCAGCCCTTTATGGGGTGTAGTTGGCTCACGTAGCCCCTTCACAGCTAAGAGGAGAATTTGCGTAGACACGTATAAATATAAATCATATGAGCTTTCCCCAACATGTTCTGCAGATAAAAATTTGAATGAAATGCCAATTTTTTTTTTTTTTTTTTTTTTTTTTTTTCGAATGAACCACGCAACCTCTGGGAAGAGTTAGCACTGGTGCGAGCGTACACATAGATGTATATACAGCGGCATGTGAATTCGGGCTCGCCAACCGGAGAAAAAAACGTGCCGTGTGGGACCCCCCCCAAATTGGCGCGACCAAGACACAACACGGAAGATATAAAGGCGTAGTATAACGCATGAGCAGACGCATGAGGAAACACCCCATATCCTGACCAGCTTACCCATTTTTTTTTTTTTTTTTTTTTTTTTCCTGTGCGGTTTTTTTTTTTTTTTTTCCAGTTAATATTCACATCATGCGGGGCGTTTTACAGGAAGGGCGTGTTTAACTTGAGGTTGCACAGAAATGTGCTCCTGTAGCGAAGCGTTGAAAAAAAAAAAAAAAAAAAA